TGTAAATATCTGTCTCTTTCCTCATCACTGAATTCGTCACAATGATATCTATTATTCTAACGAGATCATCTTTTTGTTTCTGCTGAGATATTCTAGCCTTTTATTTATCCCGGCCTTTTGGTCTCATTCTATCTCCACTTGTGCTAGCCAATCTCTTTCTTTCGAGAAGGAAGTCCCCCACCATGATAATTTTTACTATTTTCTTCTTCCATTGCTCTTCCACTCACCTCTCTGTCGCACGCGTCCATTATAATCTTGTCGCAAGAATTTCTTCCTTCTGCATGCATCACAACAGTTAATGTGCAATCCGCTGCCTTCCAATCCTATGTCCATTTATCCCCCCCCCTCCACCCCTTTATTGCTGTCTAGAGGTGTGGGAATCTCTAGTAACAGTGTAGAAAAACATTCTCAAACTCAGGGTCATTCTTAAGAAGATCAGTAATAATTTCTGAACTTGAAATGTTCAAAATACCAGGGTGAAGCGGAGTCGATGATGAAAGCCATGAGCAATGCCGTAGCTCCATGATAGAGGTGAATCTTGGATATTTTGCTGGAGTACATTTGCCATCGTCCGCGGTCTTCTCCAATGTGTTTACCAGACTCAGTTTACCAGGCATTGTTCTCGAGGTAGGGAATCCATCATGTATCCTCAGACTCAGGCCAACATGTCAGGAAATGTGATATTTGAAAAAGACTAGCATTGATTATTGAAGAACAGCTTTAACAAGGCTGAACTATTCTGTAAACAACAAAAAAGTTTGATAATTAATGTTTTGGTGGGTTTTGTTTTCATTCAATGACTTGTTCTTGGTCCTTTCTGTACCAGTCGTGAATTATAGATCCCGCCGACGGGGGTTATTTCCTGGAACCACTACATCTGCTAAATCATGTCTCTGGCATAATAATGCCAAAGCCGAATATTTAAATAGATAGCCTTATTGATTAGTGATGTGTGAATCATACGTAAACGATCCCAGCCACCGTATATTATACATCACGACTGAAACGTTAAATTTTGCGAGAGATCAATGAATAATACATGTATCAGTTCCATCCATGGTCACAGCAAAAGATAATTCCAAGAACAAAAAGGATTGTACCCAGGTTGTCAACAATGAAACAGTATTAGTTTTGTATTGCTACAGTAGCTGCTACAATACAACAGTTAATGAAGAAGAAGAAGAAGAAGAAGAAGAAGAAGAAGAAGAAGAAGAAGAAGAAGAAGAACAACAACAACAACAACATCAACAACAAGAGCAAGAACAAGAACAAGAACAAGAGCAATAATAAGAACTAGAACAAGAAAAATAAGAAAATGAGGGCTTGTCGTAAAAGTTCGGGTCCATAATGTGGCTCGAACTCTATAGATGTTTTGGTCTGCCATGTTCTTATGTCTAGATGCATAATAAATTATTTAACAAATTTAATCTAGTAAATCGAATCAAACTTAAGAAAACAAGTCACTTAATTGAGGACTATAATATTATATCTTGATGAAGACTGATGAAAATTCTACATTCAGTCTAGATCAAGGGGAAAAAAACCCTTTTTATGGAACCTGGAGGTGATGCGCGCCGGGGAAGCATGTAGCCGGTTTGGATGACGCGTTTCGACATGTGTCAAGACGGCCTGCTGGAACCGAAACGGCTACGTACATGGCTGGTTGGGCCAGGACACTTTTTCCCCAGTTGCAGGTGTCTGTTTTGGAAAGTCTCAATTAAAACATATTTCTTTCTTTTTTTTAAACTTCATATTTATTGGGGACACGTATCATGCTATTTACAATTCATTAAGCTAATAAAGCAAAAAGTGAAAATTTTGCATGTAGCCGGTTTGGGAATAACATCGACAATATATTCTTGTATTTATATGTTACCTGTACTCTGGTGTTGACCAGATGACAAGGACATGTGGTTACTTGAGGGAGGCATTGCGCTGCCAAGAGCGAAATGCTCGCAGCTAAAGGGATTTGAAAACTATAACAACAATAACATGTTACCTGTATAACCTGTATTACCTGTCCTGGGCAACAACGTCATTGCACACGGGCAGGTATGTATTTATATGTGTATCAAATTTCCCAACGTGATCAATAAAAATGGAACCTTTAAAAAAAAAATTTTTAATCCTAAAATCATGGAGGACGCCTTGAAATGTTGAGTACAGTTGCAAAGTGAATACATTTCTTTTTCACTTCTGTTCGACTGTTCAGTCGATTAATTCATTTGCTATTTACGCATGCATTCCAATATTTTTTAAAATTTCATAAACATTACTTCGATTAGGGAAGAAACCAGTCTCACAACGTTCTTGTAGATGAGTAGCACACAAGGAATGACTCAATACTTTGACAATCGTAACAATTATGTATATTGTAATCATAAACGGAGACAAATTCTCTTCTTTTATTACCCCCCCCCCCTTCAAGTACCGTGCCTTGGGAAGCATGGACAACGTTCTATTTCAGTAAAATATTCTTAGCATGACATACCTTAGGGTTCTTCGAGAAGCCAGGCTTCTTATCCACAACTCCAGAATCAAACTCTTCACATCTCGTATTCTTATTCTTCAGCTCACTTTTCATCGTTTTAGAAAGTAGAGTATTTGAAACGTTCCTCTCTCAGCCTTATTGCCTTGGTATTGTTTCGTAGAAAGATATTTGTTTTATTTTGCTAACACACTAACCATGAGCGTGTCTTGGTGTGTTCGTTTCCACTTCGTTTCATTCCGGTCCCTGTGGGTCATGCTCTTACAACTTGATCCGCTTAAACACCCAGCTGCGTACCCACTATGTTACACTGGACGCAAGGTGGAACTATTTTAAGCGTGTTAGTTCTTACTCAGGTAAAAGCAACTAGAAGTGTAGTCGCAGTATAAAGCAAAGCGACTTCAAAATCTTTGACAGCTTTTCAGCCATACATACTTAAAGTCAAATCACTGCAATCATTGTTAAAGATCATTTTCTAGCTTCATGAAAAATATTCCAGCGCACGTAAACAGGCATGAAGAATTCCATGTGGATTTAGGTGGTTGGGTTTTTGCCATTAATTTCAATATTATCTTCTGGTATTAACTGACTGCCTTCCTAAAAGATTTTGGTGATCATATCCTATTTAAACGACCGTTCGTGTTAATCTAAGCTTCAGTTTGTAGCAGATAAAAGGTTCCTCTAAGTTGATGTTATAATATGCACACGTGCATTCTCGTCTACATGAAACGTAAAAAAAACAAAACAATAATTAGTTTCTTGTAGCCAACATTGCAATTCGTCAGCAGAGAGTTAATCCTAAATTAGGATTCTTTGAAGGCAGGATAGAGGCGAAGTAAATCTTGCCTCCAGTAAAACATGATTGCGACTGCCATGTTCCCTAAACACGTACTATTTGTCTGTCACTTAGAACAGTGGGCAAAACTCTACTGAAAAGCTCTCCGCTTGAATTGTTCATACGTTACGTTCCTTTAATGACATATCACCTACAGCAAAACGTGTTGTTTTCGTTCATGATAAGCATAAACATTTTGCGTGCTTGAAACAACGCGATTCTATTTCGGACCACTGGTTGTTCACTCTTACTTTAATATGCCTAACATAAAGATAACGAGTATTTAGTCCTGTGCACGTTTCACACGAAACACACCAAACCAAACAGACCAGTACATAAACGCAGAAACACATACCCACAAACACAGATAGATAGATAGATAGATAGATAGATAGATAGATAGATAGATAGATAGATAGATAGATAGATAGATAGATAGATGAAACATTGATAGACGAAATGACATACCTTTCCAGAAATTCCAAGAGGCAAGAAAAAGAACTTGAGCTACGATTAGAAGAAGACGTGTCCAAAAAATATTTCATATACACACAAACACACATACACACACTCACATACACATACACACACATACACACACACACACATACACATACACACACTCACATACACATACACACACATACACACACACACACATACACATACACACACTCACATACACATACACACACATACACACACACACACATACACATACACACACTCACATACACATACACACACATACAGACACACACACACACGCGCGCGCGAGCGCGCGCGCGCATACACGCGGTCACATACACACACTGTATCTCTCTCTTTCACAAACACACACACAAACCAACACACATACACAAACACACACACACACAAACAAACAATATTCCAAAAAGAACATAAAGACATACTAAAAAAAATTAAGCAAAGAGAGAAACACAAAATTCATTAAAATTCCATTCTATGTGCTTTATTTGCAATAAGTAATCTTTCATTTACAAAGTATCACAAGGGATGTAAAACAAAGATGAATTGTGACAGGAATGCCCTGCAGTAGGCAAGGAATAACAAGCCGAAAGCGACATCATAATAATGTTACTCCATACTGCGTTTGTTTCAGAAACATCAGAAGTTGTAACAGCAGCAGCAGTAGCACATGAGAAAACAAATCTCATTAAATGTATTTATTGTAGGTATACTGTGTGACATTGGTCCTTAAAGAAGAAAGAAAAAAAGTAAAAATTCATCTTTCTTTTATAATCTCAATTCGTAACCATAACATGCTTGAATGAGTTATCAACTTTTTCATTCTCTTCAATTGATAACTTAGAATAAATCAATGAATGCAATAAAACAAATGGCAGAACGAACAAGTGAATGAGTACAATCGATGAAACAAATTCATAAATATACGTAGATCTAAATATGATTAAACGAATAAACGAATGATGGAATGGACTAATAAAGTTACGTTTTTAAAGGCAAAAATGATGCAGAGATCACAGAGTATGACGTGCTGGGACGGTTGTGGAAGGTAACTTTCTCAGAAAGAAATAATAAAATCCATGAGAAGAGAAGAAGAAGAAGAAGAAGAAGAAGAAGAAGAAGAAGAAGAAGAAGAAGAAGAAGAAGAAGAAGAAGAAGAAGAAGAAGAAGAAGAAGAAGAAGAAGAAGAAGAAGAAGAAGAAGAAGAAGAAGAAGAAGAAGAAGAAGAAGAAGACAAAGAAGTCCGTGCGTCAACAAAATGCTCTCTTCAGCGAGTTTCGTTCACTGCTCTGTTGCTTTGAGGATGTAGACCTCCTTTACCAACCCGGGCAGAATGAAGTGGTGGCTCAACAGTGCAAGTGATCTCTTCGTAGTCAAATTTCGTATTGACTTTCTTGAAAGCGCTGAAGAAGAAAGTTCAATAATTTTGTAAACACATTTTGGTCATGGCGTTAATCATAGAATCCTTCACAACTAACGTAAATACTAAATTACATTGAGTAACTCTCACAAGAGAACCACATAGTTCATTCTATCTTTCCATAAATGATGGTTTTTGTGCTTTAATTTCGATACAAAGAAAGTTGAATCAATCACATTAACAAATTATTATATTATATTATTATAAGGCAGCTGGTTTTATCTTTAGTGGCAGCCTCTTAACGGTTCTTTCGGACACGTGCTTCTTTGTTACGCCAAAAATCGTTAAGTTAAAACAAAAGGATTTTATTTTAATAAAAAAATAAACGAATAAAAGATGGGCAGGTAATGTAACAACACCGACATCTCTGTTACCACCACCACCACCACCACCATCATCACTGTTTAAACAACAAAACATATGTTTTTGATTTAGGTTTATTGAAGTGTGTCAAATACTTGGAAATAAAACGGTATAAGAAGCATGTCTTTTCTGATCTTTAATGAGCCCACACACTAATTCTTGGTACCATAACCTACAACTTGGTGATTTTTACTTGTTTCTTCTAATTTTTTTTCAAAGTACACGTATGTGTTTATCACACTCACAGGAAAAGCAGAATGTTCACGGCACAAATGCCAGCCATGACAAAAAAGACGGTTCCCCTGTACCACTGCACAGTACTAAGGTAGACACTGCTATACGTCGTGAAGGAAAGAATGCCACAGACCGCATCCACTACAGACAGGCTGGCGAAAAGGGCTCCTGGGATCAGAACATACAGGTCATAGGTCATGGAACGGAAAACAAGGTTAGGGAATTTTTAAAAGACAAGATTAGTCTATACATGTCTTCATTATCCCTACCTGCATTATTTACCCATCTGGTAATATTTTAAATGATGTGCAAGTACGCATTCAGAAGACACGTTTCTCATGTAATAGTCTATTTCTTTCTCAATCATTGTCCCAGATAATTATTTATTCCATTCATACCCAGCCTTGTACAAAAAGCTCAATCTTTGGGAACAATACACAATTACGACTTGAGCAATCTGAAGACTATAAATAGACAAACTTTTAAGATAACCTTATGGCGGTATAAAACAATCTCTAATTTGAATAAGTACAGAAAGTCCATGTCTTGAATATACCAGTTACAATCAATATAGAGAATGGTGTATTCTGCCTTGAATAATTTGGAAGGGAATTAGCACAGTGCCATCACGTTCTTTTTTCAAACAGAGACTATCCATGTGACATAAGGGTGTAACCAGATATAATTATCATCATCTTTATCATCACCACCATCTATGTTGTATAGTAGGCAAAAAAGATATTGAGGCATAGTATATAGTTTAGAGCATCTAATGGCAATTTTAAAAAACCTATCATCATCATCATCATCATCATCATCATCATCATCATCATCATCATCATCATCATCATCATCATCATCATCATCATCATCAT